GAGAAGCATTCTTTAAAGAAAACTGAAGATGTATAATGATCAAATATTCATCTGTCTGTATGTTTAGGGAGAAAAGGGAGATTCTGGCAATGCACTTGGAGGAGGTAAAGGGGAACCTGGACCACCAGGATTACCTGGACCTCCTGGACCAAAAGTGAGTAAATTTGTCTGTCATTTTATTAGGGTTGGAAAGAATATTTTCAAGTATTCATTCTCTGGTTAAAAAATGAGGAACCCAACAGTCTTCCCCTGCCCTGGATCAGGAAGAATAATTGAAAAATGAATCTTCTGTGGTTCTGTACCTATACTGAAATCATCTTCTGAAATTCCTGAAGAAGATCTAGCCTTTTACCAGCCACCAAAGTCAAACCACAGGGCTACTGCTTGCTAATCAGTGCAAAGCTGGCTGTGAACACATGCTACATAAAGCTGCCTTAAATCTCATGAGAGGAGGGCTACTGCTTGCTGAGATCTTGCATGATCTCAGGCTCTTGTGAGGTCTCAAGTCTCATGAGAACTTCAAAAGCCATGCAAATATCATGATAGAGGGCCAGCTATTGTGAGATAAGACTTTACCTGAGGAGTATTGCTCTGCCTGGCCAGAAAGGAGGAAGAGCAGCAGACAGATCCCCAATACAGTCACCCCTCCGTGCTCACGGACTTGAAGTCCATGGTTTTGCATGTTCATGGAGGGGTGACCTCTGTTTAAATCAATAGGGTGTGCATCTGCGGGGGCTGCTCCATTCAAGCCTATGGGGCTTGAATATTTGTGAATCTCCATTTTCGGGGGGTGGGTGGGTCCAGAACGGATCCCCATGAAAACAGAGGGCCAACTGTATTTGAAGTGTAATAGACCAGAGTGGTCAGTTTGCTGGTGCACACACTTCTTCTTGTCTGACTAAGCCAAGCAGCATGCTCCCAAATAAACTTGTTCCAGAAATATTCCTTCATAGACAATCCCCAAGAAACACTTTGTAATTGACACATACAGAGAGAATTCTGCAAAGAAATAGTCATGTGCTCTCTCAGCTGGGAGAAAACTACATACTCATCCTTTCTTGTGAGGGCAAAATAGCCAAGGATTTATGTTTAACATATATAAAGGCCTACTGAAGAATAAAGTGGGTTGGAATTAGCATTTATGTCCACTTATTATTGGCCGCTGTGTGAGTTTCATTAGAATTGGGGGAAAAACTTTTTAAAAAACTAAACCCATTTCTTGATTCATAAAATGGAGGAGAAAATGCATCTCGAGAAATCCCTACATTTCCTAGGCCTGCTCTGTGAATCAGTGAAGAAAAATAGACAAATATTACACACACACATATATATATATATATATATATATATATATATATATATATATATATATATACACACACACACACACACACACACACACACACACACATCCATTTAAAAAGTGTGAATTGCTAAGAGTGCATACATTTGGAAAATGCACACAAACATACTTTACGCAAAATGTCAAAAAATATGTGCATGATAAAAAAAATGCATACATTGTGTGTGGGGGGTGTACTTTCTCCCTGAAAAAAAGCCCTGCATGAATTTTCACACAAGAAGGGAGGGAACTCTCACATGTGTAACTGTGATGGGATGTTGGTGGGCTTCTAAGAGATGTTATGAAAATGAAAGTGTTTGGAACAGAAATATGGAAGGTACAGATAGTCATGCAAGCATAGGAATTCTGTGCTTGCTAAATTCACTCTTATCCAGGTCTTTAAGTAAGTCCTTTTTTCTTTGCTTATGGTCACTATCACTATTATAAAAGGTCTCCTTTAAGACACTTTTCCAGGGGCAATTTTGTGCTTTAATTCTAGTGACATGTTGTGCTCTGACATTAAAGTGAGCTGCAGATGCAGCATGAGATTTGAAATGGGTACAGGAGAACTTCATATAGACACAGCACAACCCCACCCCACCCAAAGCATGGACCTTGCTGCATTACAAACCTTTTAGGACTATACAACTGGGATTGTCCCACTACCCCACTTCTTTGCCAGATATTTCATTTCATTTCATTTCTCATAGCTGTCTCACAGTGAAGTTTCCCATGGATCCCAGTTTTATTTTTCTACACATTCAGCTAATGGGGCAAGTGTGAGATTAGTAAGCCTCCACCTGAGTGGGACAGAGGGGGGTGCAATTCTCTTCATAAGATAGATTCAGATGTTCCATTGATCCATTTGAGTGTTTACAAGTGTGTGGTTTCATTCTAACCATTTATGGATATTATATTATGGAATCATACAGGCAAGAGCCTCTTATTTTTGTTGTAGGTACTGAAAAAGCTGTTTCAGGAAACTCATCCAGCCTGTGCTGGATGTTTAAAATGAGCAAACTTTCATATGAACTCCATGTATCAGATGAATCCAGCTTTGATTGTCAAAATTCATTGTGTGTTCCTCATGAATCCTTGGTCAACATAAATATGTCAGGCCTTTTGGATAAAAAGGAAAGAAAAAAAGACTATGGCGGGTTGCAGACTGCCAGAAATAGTGCAAATTGAGTCCACTTTTAGGGTTAGGGTTAGGGTTAGGGAATCATGGGAACTGTATTGTGGCACCAGAGCTCTCTGACAGAGAAGGCTCAATGTCTCAGGGGGGAAAAAACAATTCCCATGATTCCCTAGCACTAACCCTAACCCTAAAAGTGGACTCAATTTGCACTATTTCTAGCAGTCTGCAACCCCCCTAAATTACAGGCCTGCACAACATACAGCCTAGGGGCTGCATGTGGCCTGCCAAAGGATTTTGGGCAGCCCACAAAGACATGGAACAATCTCAATGCTCTTCTACAGCATAGCCTTCTCCTGAGGAGAGGGCTATGTGGAGGAGGATGAAGGTGGGCAAACACTTGCCCCACATGGCTGCTCTGTTGCTCAGCCTTCTCCTGAGGAGAAGTCAGGGTGGAGGAGAAGAATGACGGTCAAGGCTCCTTCACTGCTTGGCTTTCTCCTGAGAAGAGGACCAGGCAGAGGAGGAGGAACATAGAATTAATATTAATTATATTAATTATTAATAATAATTAATAAGTATTAAACAATTGTTTAAACAAAACCTATCTGTGGCCTGAAAAGGTTTAGCCTATTTTAATTTTGGCCCCTTCCTACTGCCAAGTTGTGCAGGCCTGCTATATTATGTCCATGATCTCTATATTACAGGGAGAACCTGGAGTACCTGGGGAGCAGGGACTATTTGGCCCAAGGGTGAGTATTGCTTTACTCTTCATTCATGGTCTATATCAGGGGGAGCAACTGTGGTCCCCCAGGAACTTTGGGACTGTTGCTCCTATATGCTCACACCCTTGGCTCTGCTGGTTGGGGCTGATGGACATTGGGGCCAAATATATTTGGAAGGCCACAGTTCCTAACCCTTGGTCTGTTTTTGATGAGAAGCCATTTGATTAGGAAACAGTAACTCAGGTATTGTTTTTGTTTGACGTGTGTGTGTCTTCAAGTCTCCTGTTGACTTATGGCAACCCCATGAATTTTTCATAGGGTTTTCACAGTCTACATTACCTGGCATTCATTGGCAATCTCCCACCCAACTACTAACCAAGCCTGACTCTGCTTACCTTCTAAGATCAGATGGAATCTGGGGCCTTTGGGGTATTTACCATCCCTTAAAACTAAGGCATGGTGAGTCAAACAAAAATAATACAAAAACAACACTACATCTACTTCTAGCTTATACTTCAAAAAATAGTTCAAAGCACACATGTTACACTGGCTATCACAATTTTGCTAGGATGCCAATTTCCAAATAAACGTGGAGAAAATTTTGCTGCTGGTGATACTGATCTCTCTGTGTATGTATAAGCAGTGATTCATTAGTGATTATTCTGAAATAATTGCAGGAATCTGAATATTTTTTGATGCAGTTTTTAAAAGCCTGAATAGTTTTAGATATTAGAAATCAGCATGTTTCTATAGCAATCTAACTTAGACAGAAACTCTCATTTCTTTCTATATATGTGACTGATCTTTTACAGGGTCCCAAGGGTGAACCAGGCAAGAATGAAATGATAGATTATAATGGCAATATCAATGAAGCTTTGCAGGTATGAAAATGACATGTAATGATGATACTTTAAAAAAAATATTGCTGTTTAACTATAGTCAACAGATCACTTTTGGGAGGTGTTAATAGAGACATTAGTAATAGGATCCTCTTCTCTGCATTAATGCTGCAAATATTATAGGAGTTACCTAGGTGCAGCAGATGTTTATAGACACATTAACCAGTAGGAATAAGTAAGAAGAACAGCTTGCTGTACTTACATTTTTAATAAGAACTTGGCACTCTAAATTGATTTTTTCTCCATAATGAAGATTTTACTTCTAACTCAAAAAGAATCAAAACACATTGGGCTTCCTGTCTACTTAATTTATTTTCCCCTGATTATTAATCTGGGAGTTCAAGATATTACTGAGAGCCATTTATTTTGCTATCCAAATCACTACCCTCTAACATTTCACAGATGGAAAATGGGATGTATTGGCCAAGCAACATCAGAGTGTGGTAAAGATGGCAAAAGTTATTAATGAGAAAGAACACACAAACTAAGAGAGGATACAGCAGTTTGCTTTAGCCTGAGCCAACTGGGAAGATCTGACCCCGCTCCTCTCCTTTTGCCTCTCCAAGTTGCATGCAAACTACTTTTGGAATTTGAACTCAGTTTGTAGCAACTGAATTAAGCTGACAACAAATGGCAAAAGGAGGAGGTAGGGAGAGAAACAGGCATCTTAAAAGCAGCTGAAAAAGTGGAACAACAGGAGATTAATTGGGACTGTCCCTGTCAAATCATTATAGTTGGAGCTTATGTAGTGGACAGAAATATTGGTTAAAACCTGATGACTGATTATTGATAGGGACAGCGTATACATGTTGTTGTGATGGTGGTTGTCTGCATTCAAGTAATTTCTGACTTTTCTGAGGCTAAAAGTGTCACTATTCATGGCACCAAGTAGGTGTTAATGTCCGAGCAGGAATTTGAACCCTGGTCTCCAGAGTTGCAGTCCACGGCTCAAACCACTATACCACACTGGTACCAAAAGAAAATGTGGCTGTCTGGGGCCATATTAAAGCAATATACCTTAAATTATATCACTTTAGAGGGCTATAGCAAATGGGTCTGTGGGACATAAATAGAAAAACCCATATGAAATATATATCTAGATTTGGCTGAGGAGAGATAGCTTATTATTTCATGATGGTAGAACATAGGTGGGCAACTGCAGAGGGCATGAGAAGTCTTTCACCATCTACAGGTCTTACCTTAAAATTGGCCACTTTTCCAGGGGTTTGGGGAAGACTTTGTAGCCCAGCAAGCAGACTATAGACTGCGGTTTCACAGCCCACTAGAGTGAGTAACCTTGCTTTCAAGGTAGCACTCTCTATCTGAACACCTACTTCTCTAAACCTGTAATGTCTGTTTGACTATACATTTCTTAATATATTATTGTTGTGTGCCTTCAAGTCACGTCCCAATTATGGTGACCCTAAGGTGATATCATGAGCTTTTGTTGGCATGATTTGTTAGGAGGAGATTTGACTTTGCCTTCCTCTGAGGCTGGTAAGAGTGAGACTTGCCCAAACTCACCCATGCTGTGTCCATAGCTAAGTGGGGATTCGAAGCTGGTTTCCAGAGTCGTGGTCCAACATGCAAACCGCTACACCACACTGGCTCTCAATGTATAGGTTATTAGGCACTGTAAGATTGTGTTTTTCAAGAAAATCTATGCTGTAAAAGCTATTTTAAAGTTCTGGCAGAGGAATAAAACTTCACACTGATTTTGATTAATTGCAAGAACATTAATTTTGTTTGGAAGGGAAAGAGCTACACTTCTTCAAAAGGAATAGACATACAACAACTTTTTCTTCATTTATTTTTCTTTCTTTCAGGAGATAAGGACCTTGGCCCTTATGGTAAGTGAGCTTTTTCTCTGTATTTATTGTGATTTATAACCAAATTTAATTATATAAGAAAGCATCTTTTTCATATATTTAAAATAAATGTTTTTCTTTCATGAGGGACCTCCTGGACTACCTGGAGTTGCAGGACCACCAGGTCCACCAGGACAGAAGGTAAGTCAGCCATTATGATTAATAAAACTCAATGTAGGAACTATCCAGAAAAAGATAAAGCACAGTTAGCCTATTGATTCTAGTGCAAAAGATTGGGCATGGGCTTAAGTTACCCCACAAAATTACTAAGTTTGTTGTTGTGTGCCTTCAAGTCATTTATGACTTATGGCAGTCCTAAGTCAAACCTATTATGTGATTTTCTGGGGCTGAGAGTATCCTACTTTCTCAGTGTCACCCAATGGATTTCCATGGCTGAGTGGGAATCAAACCCTGGACTCTAGGATCATAGTGAGATGCTCAAACCACTACACCACACTGGTTCTTTACTGAAAGCTACTCCTTGAAATTATCAGTTAGTGTAGGACCATGCTCATGTTAGTTTATTACACAACAATATAGTTACATGCCCTGTATGCCTTCCTCACTGTAAGATGTAAATGTTTTTACTTTTTAAAGTCAGCTTATAAATATCCCATACAAATAAAAGCTGTTGTAAACATCTCTTCTTTCCCCTTACAGCTGACATTTTATAAATTCAGAATAATATAATCTGGTCATCATATATTAGAATTACCTTCTTGCCCTCCCATTCCACCTTTCATTGGTTCCTCTTCCCTATCCTTCCATATAAGTCTTGTCTCAGCCCCAGAAACCAGCATATAAGAGGAATGTCAGTTTCCCATCTGCCTTTACTCTGTATCCTGGAAGAACCAATTGCCATCTCTTTTCTTTTCCCTTGCTAAATTAGGAGCTTTATATATTCTGGTAATAGGGAAAATGTTTTATAAAAATTAAAAATAAAATATACTTAGGTAGGTCCTGAAACAAGCCACTTTCAATTGCCTGGGTTTCAGTTAGCTGAATTGTAAAGTCTCTTGTACATGCTACATTGTTTCCCCCCCCCCCAACTGCTGTACCTGTATGTATAAATAAATACACATGGCATGCCGCAAGAGACAGCAATTACACCTGGTTATAAAATTAAGTTACCTCAGTAAAATTACTTTGAAAAATAACATATGAACAAACCCATTCCTGTGATACATTTTAAAGCATGTTTTATATCTAATGGTTGTACCATGCTATGGCAGGGATAAGCAATTACTTCATTCCCAGGGGTCATGAAGAAAGCACAAAGTGAAGGGCTGAACTTTAATTGCCTCTTTTAGTTACATACCATTAACGTTTGGATGGATGTAGTGGATGCTAAAACACAGCTGGAGGAACAGGCTGCATTTCCTCACTGTTATTCTTATCCTGGAAATGTTGATTCATAATTGGATAACCTCGAGTTGACTCTCTTTTTGAAATATAACATGAAATGATACTCCTACAGCATCATTTTTGTGATGTATATAAGATTTCCATTTTGGTCCTGGAGCTTTCCCAACTCAGCAAAAGACAATTTTGCCAGAATGATCTCCTCCTGGTGATGTCATCCATGCATCCAGCCTTCCTCCTTCCACTTTCAGTAATAACCAGACTCCAAGCATCCTCAAAACAGGTGGAAGAAATGGGCAGAAGGAGCAAGCATGGCCATGACTGCCTCATCTTCCTTTGCATCAGGAAACAGAAACAGAAGCCTGTTGTTAGACATCTAATAATGAAAATTATTGGATGATACAGTTCAAAGAGAAGGATTCAGTGCAGTGGTTCTCTTATCATGTGACTGTGAGATGGTTAATCAAAAGTAACTATTCAAGGGCCAACTTGGGATGTAATCAGAATCTCTTAAGCATTACAGTTCTCACTTTATTCTATCAAGTTTTAAGTGCCTTCATTTGCCAGACATACCACTGTTAACCAGTGGCATCTCCACCCTGGATGTCACCTGGTGGAGAGGCTGCTGGGGAAGGACTAATGGGAGGTGGCAGCCAAAATGGTGCACTCATCCTTCTTCTTTGCTGCAGTGGTAGCCTCCTCCTGAGGAGAGATCCATGCTGAAGGTGAAGCCTAGGGGGTGTGCTCATCCTTCTCATTTGCCATGTCATCAGCCTCCTCCTCAGGAGGAAGCCACAACTGCAACAAAACCTGGAAGGGAATGGGTGCCCCTTCTCACCCCCGCCCCCCACAGGTGGAGGGCCCAACCAGGTGTCACTGCTCTTCTGGGGTGACACTCAATATGGGCCGCACACCCTGCACCTCCCTAGTGTCACCACTGCTGTTAATCCAGCTTTCCTTTTCTTTCCTTGTTTTTTGTCAGTACTAGAATTTCCTATACAAGTAGGTGAAATCATTCTTAGCATTTTTTGCTTCTCTCTCTCTCTTCATTGAATTCTACACTGTAGGGTGAAGTTGGCCTGCCAGGTCCTCCTGGACATGACGGAGAAAAGGTAAGAACAGGAAAGCAGAAGTCATATCAACGTATCAATTTGAATGACCTATAGAGAGTAAAAAAAGATGAATCAGAGTGTTAAGTTATTGAAAATATGTTTCTCTGTTCTTGTACCAAGGCCTTAATAGCATTCTTGATTTAAAGTGTTTCCATGAAATAGAAATGATTTCAATGGATCCATTTTTCAAAGCACAAGGCATTCTTTGCTTGATGCGTGGCATCTGTTGAATGTATGTTTATTAGTAGCCAAATGATATCAGAACTTTTAGTGGAGTGTTTTACCAAGTTAGACCTGAAGAACAAAACATTTCACTATGTCCTCAGCTTATCATGGTTCTGCCTCTGTCTTTGTAAGTCAACTCACACAAATGTTCCTCTGCATGCAGGTGCTGTTTGCATGCCAAAATCTTATGTACATTTACTTAGGCTTACTTTCTTCAGTGCAGTACTCAGGTGGAAGAAAACTGGGAGCTTTGAAATGTATCTTTATGGCCACATTTTCCAAGTAGGGAGTCACAGTAAATGAGGGAGGGGAGAAGTGGCAGAAAAGTGGATATATTCCCCACTATCTCCTGCATATGCCCCTACCTATCTACTGCAGGCATTCACACATTTTGTTACACCTATGTGAATGTGTGTATACACACACACACCTAGCTGAACATGTGCACACTGAGATACACTCCCATCCATATATGCATGTTTAATATAGGGGCTAGGGTACATTATCATTGCCATTGTCTTATTTATTTATTTATTTATTTATTTCTATCCTGCCTTTTCCACAGAACTGCATTTCAAAGCAATTTACAATACTAAAACAAATGCAGATAGAAACACATAGGTAAAAACATACAGAAGAAACATGGTGTAGTAATTTGAGTGTTGGACGATGATTCTGGAGACCAGGGTTCAATTCCCAGCTCAGCAATGAAGCCTACTAGTTGACCCTGGGCAACTCACTGTCTCTCAGACTCAATAGAAGGCACTGGCAAACCTCCTCTGAACACATCTGGCCAAGAAAACCCCATGATAGATTCACCTTAGGGTTGCCATAGGTTGGAAATGAGTTGAAGGCACACAACAATAACAATCAAGAAATTATTGTTAAATAATTTTATCTACAGACTTTAAACCATTTAAAACCTATCTGGTGAAAAGGCAAAGAAAATTAAAAATCCACTAGCACACTATGAAAACAATTTTTGAAAACAACCAAAGCCTCTCACACTAGAGAAGTCATCACTTGTTAATAGAGTGACAGGAAGGACGGAGCCAATCTAAACCCCTGGGAAGAGAGTTCATGAACCAGAGAACAGCCAACCAAAAATTTCTCTCCCATGTTCCCATCAGATGTGCCTGTGAGAGCACTGGGTTCAAGGGAAGGATCTCTCCAGAAGAAGACTTTGAGATCTTCTGGAGAAATCCTTCCCTTGAACCCAGTACTTTCAGCATGCTCATATAGGAAGATATCGTCCTGGACTCAAGCTTTATAGATCATAACCACCACTTTGCAATGTGCCCAGAAATGATGTAGCCAGTAGAGCTGTTGTAACAAGGGAGTTGTTTCAGACAACAATTTCAGACAACAATCTGGCTGCAGCTTTTTGGATCAGCTGAACTTTCT